TTAGTAGCTTTTGGATTACACACAGATTCTAAGATTTTTCCCCTTCAGTAACCAGGGATGGGGAATCATCAACACCAATGTCACACCCGCGACTGTTCTACTGAACCGTCTTTACCTAAGGTTACCGTTTACCTGCTGACAGTCAAGTCCAATGGCCCAGGTGGTCCAAGCGTCTGCTGCACAATATCTCAAACCTATCATGTTCTGTAACCTCATTCTCCTACTTTGTGTCCCCAATAATTGGCTAATATGGCCACTAATTCATCAATCACCTTTTAAAATGAAAAATCTGAGACCTGTTACATTTAATAAAATTTATTCAAAACAAGAGCTGGGTCTTATGAAAGAGCAGTATTCCAGACCCAAGTTGGTTCAGATTGCTCTACCTCATCACATATTTATAGCCAGGGAAAAAGAAGTTATACACAAAGCCAGACCGATTGGATGCAGTTGGATTTTGCCTCAGAAGGTCATTTTTTTTTAGCAGCTTTCAACCTCTGATTGGCTGAGGGGTCAACTATTGTGACTGACTGAGGCCTAGTTACTTGGTTACCAAGATAGACTCTCAAGTGAGGTTATAACTTGCGTATCAAGCTAAGCTACAGCTCAGTATATTTGGAATCTGCTTTGGGCCAGATTTTATCACCCAAGTATGGAGGCCAGCTTAGGCCAGTTTAATTCAATTTAACACATCTAAGAGAAACAATAATGTTTCTCCATCACCCAAGACCTCGCGCTATACTGTTCAGTTAACTACATTTGACTGAAGTCTTTTTGTTGTAAATTCCAAAATTCAACTTGAACTAACTTAGACAAAAATGAGAAAATTATTACAAAGGTACTAGGATGTCTCATATAATCAAAGGGACAGCTGAATGACAAGTCGTAAGAAAGATGAGGACACAGACAAGACTTAAGAACAGCTAGAGCCATGAACATGCGCTAGGATTTTTTTTTTCAAATCACTGTGAATATGCTTCATGCTCTCTAACTACAGAATAGCTTCTTCATTTATTAGAAAATAAGAAATTTCCTCCAGAGTGGGAGTATTTGCTTTTCTCAATGATAGTTTGAAATATCCCAGGAAAGGACTTTAATTAACATAACTCATGTTAGTTGTTTACTCTGAACCACCTAAAAATTATTCAACATTGAGAATGCTTAAGTTATTAAAAAATCTATATAGTGAATGTTATAAAGCTATTAAAATTACATTTATAATGCATTTTTAAAAGATTTTTTTTGAAATACATGCTAATCAGAATATTAATTAACTTCACAGTACAATCTCTGTAAGAAAAAAGATTAGAATGAAACACACCATAAAATTAAAAAAAAAAAAGAATGAAACACACCAAAATGTTTAATAGTTATTACATATGGGGTAAGCTTATCTTACTTTTATTTTTTTATACACACACATATAATATACAGTTGTTGCAATGAGCTTATGTAACTTTGAAAACTAGGGAAAAATGTAAAAAACTCTGACTGTTCCAGTTATTGTCAGGAGTCTACATATGGTCTTCTAGACTCCAAAATACATTTCATGCAGCTGCAAAATAATACCTCAGTAATACTCAGGTCTAGTCATGGCACACTTCTCACTTAAAATCTTATTCAGCTTCTCCTAACCAACACATTAAAATCTAGACTGTGGGACCAGCAGTTGGCATAACTGGCTATGTCGCTGGACTCCCACGTAGTTGACTGCAGTTCTAGTTCTGGACCCAGTGTCTGAAACTCTTGCGGGGTGAATGTGCGCGCATGCCCAAGATCTCGAGAGGAGAATGGAGGACAAGAGATTGTGGCATGGCCATCTCCCCTTTCTGTTTCTCTGTCTCTCTGTCTCTCTGTCTCTCTGTCTCTCTCTCTCTCTGCTATAGGCACACGCACCTACAGCAAAAAGCTCTCAAAAAAAAAAAATTTAGAATACTTACCTGGCAGGGGAGATACCATGATCACGAAGGTGGTTTTCCCAGGGTGAGGCTCATCCATTGCACTCCGGGTGTGCTGACCCCTGCGATTTCCCCAAATGAAAAAAAAAAAAAAATTTAGACTATAAGATCCTTCTCAGTTACCCAATCTACCTTCACGGGTTACTCTCCCACATTGGTCCCACTAGGCAATTTAGGTGCTTTCACCTCAAACTATTGACAGTACTCCAAATACATCCTGTACACGCCTTTACCTTTCTGCATGGTTTCTCACTCCACCCAGAAAGCAGTGTAAAATTGTCTTCTCCAACACCAGCTTTGAAATCCTTGAGCCTTTATGGAGTGATCCAGTAGGGGAGCTCAACTCTTTGTGTACTCTTCCCTTAAGAACAATTTTAATGTGCCAGGAAAGTTGCTATTTGTCCAAGAGTGAACCCTCAGGAAGAACAGGGGAAGAAAGGAAAACTCACTTGCTCAGTCAAACCAACGGATCAACTGAATCAACCCTGACAGTGCTGGTGATCAAGGCTCAGCCAGACTTCATTGTTACCAGACTCTCATTCATCCACCCACTGCAATTTTTCAAACAACTACACTTTTTAAGTGCTAGTTCCATGCCTGGTACATAGCAAGCATTTGGCAAAAACGTTAGCTGTCATTATATTGTCATCATTATCACAGGCCTTCTTAACTAGCATGCAAACAGATTTTAAAGTTTCAGAATCCAAATAATTAGGATTCTTTAAAATCCACTTCATATCAGTTGCGAGGGTATAGGCTGGATAATAACAAACTTGAGATGCTGAGTCAATGACAGATGTATGGGGCCAGCATTCTTTGTGGTGGTTAAGGTACTGGACTCCCACATGGTCGACCTCAGTTCGAGTTCCAGACCTGGCTGCTTAAAAATCACACAGGGCACATGTGCATGTGTGCCCACAACCCTGAGAGAAGAATGGAGGAGAAAAGATTGCTGTGTGGTTATCCCCTTGGGGGTGCGGGGGCGGGGGGCGATTTCTCTCTTTCTCACTGTCTTTCTCTCTCTCTCTCTTTCTTGAAAATAGAGATTTTATTTTACTTATCTCTTTTTTCCTTACTGACTCTTGGAGAGCTACACAAAGGTCAAAGAAAAATAATCTATATTCACACAACGCATGTGCCCTATGGCAAAGAAATCCTTAAAAAAAAGTATCAACTTGCCCTGAAAGCATCTTTTCTCTGTTGAATTTTAACCCCATTGCATCCTTTCTTGTCTGCCACTGTATTCTTCTGTCTCCAAAATACACCTAGCTGCTGAGAGGATTTTTGTTTCCAAAGTGAATGCCCTTTTCTTTTAAAAGCTATCTGTCTCATATCCAGGACGGTGTTCCTTACATTTCTTTGTTCAACGTGGCTTACTGCATAATAATAACAAATGTTAAGCATTTACAAAGTGTCACATATACATAAGTTATGTTTTACATATAGTTACCTTTTTTAAAAACTCAATTATCCCCTACGTTATAGGATCAGAAACTAAGGTTTGGAAAAATTGAGTAAATTTACCCAGTATGGCAATGTGGCAACTCAGCCAATGCGGCTGAGTAAAAACTTGAATCTAGGTCTGTCCTACTCCAAAGCCCACATTCTTGAACATCACACCATAGAAACTAAGCCAAGCAGCAGAGGGTTGGAGAGAGAATATCTCCTTTAAATATTCAGGTCATCTTGGCCTGGAGAGCCTGGGTCTATTCAGCCTTGAAAACAGACCAAATACTATCATTGCCATGAAGGTTTCACTTACTTATTCAGGAACAACCAGTTACTTGTTCTCATGTGATTTTTTTGCACCTCTCTTCAGTAGCTTATTTCACTTTCTTCCTTGGGTTAGAGTAATTTTGCTATGTATGTCTTTCTTGAAGACAAGAGATTCTTACTTATCTCTTTTTTTCCTTACTGACTCTTGGAGATCTATAAAGAGATCACAAAGTTTAGGAACCAGCAGTTAGCATAATGGCTATGTCGCTGGACTCCCACGTAGTCAACCACGGTTCTCGTCCTGGACCCGGTGGCTTAAAACTCACGCCAGGCGCGTGTGTGTGCGTGCCCAAGATCCCGAGAAGAGAATGGAGGAGAAGGGATTGCAGCGTGACCATCCCTCCTGGGGGGTGATTTCTCACTTTCTATCTCTATGTCTCTGTCTGTCTGGCGAGCACATGCGCCCTAGAGCGAAAACCTCTCAAAAAAAAAAAAAAAGAAAAAAAAAGAGATCACAAAGTTCAAAGAAAATCTATATTCACACAGTAAATGATGCAGGAGATGCATCTGCTTCATTAGCTTATGAATAAATAGTGTGCTATGGCATAAGACAACTAAATATTCAGAAAGTTGGGAAATGTTAAAGTCACATGCTTTATTTTTAATGTTAAGATCTTTTTCTTTTTTTTTTTCTGGAGAGGTTTTTGCTATAGGGCACGTGCGCTCGCCAGACAGACAGAAGGAGACAGAGAGACAGACAGACAGAAAGCGAGAAATCACCCCCCAGGGGGGATTGGCCACGCCACGATCCCTTCTCCTCCATTCTCCTGTCGGGATCTTGGGCACGCACACACACGCGCCCAGCGTGAGTTTTAAGCCACCGGGTCTGGGACGCGAACCGCGGTCAACTATGTGGGAGTCCAGTGACATAGCCATTATGCCAACTGCTGGTCCCAATGTTAAGATCTTAATATCCTTTACTTCTGGAAAATTGGTAGGAAATTGCTCAAGAGATTGTTTCACCTACTATTCCCAAATCATAGCTACTGGGGAGAGAAAAGCAAAAAGATGAGACGGAGCGGACAGACCCCTGGCATATAGTGGACACTCAATATCCTTTTTTTATCTATAAATAGCATTTTCAGCTCAGAAATAATTGCTCTTAGCTCCCAGAAATAATCACTTTTAGAACCACTCGTCACCTTGTTCTGCCGCATCTTGGGGCAGGGGGTGGTGAGGCTGAGAGCGAGACTTGAAAAGGCACGCTGATAACTACATTTCCCATGGTGCCCCGCTTCCACACGCCGGCGCGGCCGCGACGTCGCTCCCATGGCAACCCCGGAGCCCGCATTCCGCGGCTGGGCTTGGAGCTCGCTGCCTGCCTGACTAGCTGGAACCCGTTCGGCGCCCACCGGTTCGGGGGCGGCTCAGCCACGATGCCCAGGTATGCCCGCAGCCCTGCCTGTGCCCGGCCTCTGCTCCCTTCCAGAGCTCCGTCTTTCCCACCCCGGCCTGGAGGGCGGTTGAAGAGAGGCCTGAGGGCATGTTTGGGGAGAGGGAGTCCACGCGGGACTTGCTGATGGAAGAAGACGTGGGCCTGTCCGGCTTGCACCCCAGGCCTGAATGTGCCGCAAAGACGTAGGGAAGTTCCCTAAGTGGAAAAGTAGGAATCTGAAAGGTGATCGACCCCATGCGCTCCTTTACTGGGCATCAAATCCACCCACCGACTGAATAAATGCTCCAGGATCAGGGGGCCGTGCCGTGCGCTGGACGACCAGGCCCCTCCCGGGGGCTGCTGAGGCTGGGGTTCACAACCGCAGATGCGTAACCACACGTTCCAGCGGGTGGAAAGCGAGGATTGTGCAGGCCTGTAAACGGTATTTCAGTTCTTCAGTTCATTGGTGTCCAAGTTACTTACCTGTTCTCGAGGTAATCCCTGAGCTTTCTCTGAGCGATTTATTAGAACGCGGGAGAGTCCACCCCAGAGCAAGATCCTTCTTCTCACCTTCTGGGTCAATGATGTGATCCCTGCTGAGTATGAACCTTGATGTGAAATTTGTCAGCTCCCCATCACGATATAACTAGTTACAAATACCCACCAGTGGCAGGGCCGACACAGCACCTCCGCCCCTCTGGGTACTTGGAAGGCGGATAATCACCTTTGGAAGGAATAGTGTGTAAATGAAGAGCGGACAGGTCCGGACTGAGTTCCTGGAGGACTCCTGTTTTGGCCTGAGGGCCTGCCTTGACCTTTTCTTTTTTTCCTAGTTCTTGTATAATAGTAATTATAACTCCCGATAATTTTCATAGCTTTATGCCTTACCTTAAACTAAGTTATCACATTTTTACAGTCATGACGACCCTATAAAGTTGGTCCTTCTTACTGGCGTTTTTTAGAGATAAAGAAACAGAGTTGAACTAGAGGCTTGCATATATTAGGTGCTCAATAAATATTTGTTTAATGGAAGAATAAAGGATCTAGAAAATTTAGATAATTTGTCCAAGTTCATACACATAGAAAGTAACAGATTCAGAATCCATTAGGTCTCACCCATTTTCGTTTAGACTTTAGTAATTTTAAAAAATGGTATTGAGGCTGGCAGGTGGTGCTATGGTAAAAGGTGCTGGACTCCCTTGTGGCCAACCACAGTTCAAGTCCTGGACTTGGCAACTTGCTTTCTCTCTCTCTCTCTCTTTCTGGTCAAACAGAAAAAAAATGATAATAAATAAAATAATTCTTTTTTTAAAAAATGATGTTATCTGTGTAAAATTATCTATGTGTGTAAAGAGGTAAAAGGCTCGGGAACCAGCAGTTAGCGTAATGGCTATGTCGCTGGACTCCCACGTAGTCGACCGCGGTTCACGTCCCGGACCCGGTGGCTTAAAACTCACGCCGGGCGCGTGTGCGTGCGTGCCCAAGATCCCGAGAGGAGAATGGAGGAGAAGGGATTGCGGCGTGACCATCCCCCCTGGGGGTTGATTTCTCGCTTTCTGTCTCTATGTCTCTCTCTGTCTGTCTGGCGAGCCCACGCGCCCTATAGCAAAAAAAAATCTCTCCAAAAAAAAAAAAGAGGTAAAAGGCTTTCAAAATATTTTAAGTGATTTCCCCCCACTATATATTTTTATAACTTAAAAAAGAGATTTGGGAGGCCAGCAAGTGACATGGTAGTTAAGACAGTGGACTCTCACATGCACAACCACAGCTTGAGTCCTATATCCAGCACCTTGAAACTCACGCTGGATGTGTGTACATGTGTGCCCAAAATCCCAGGAAGAGAATGGAAGAGAAGGGATTACAGTGTAGCTATTGCTCCTTGGGGGTGATTTCTCACTTTCCCTCTCTTTGTCCTTCTCTGTCTCTCCAGTGAACACACATGTCCTATGGTAAAAACTTTAAAAAAGAAAGAGAGATTCGGAACCAAAAATATAATTTAAAACAAAACAAAATTAAATGTTTCAGGGAGCAAACATTATTTGGTACACTGATTTTGCATGTTTCCCATCTTCAAAATGATTTAAGCATTGGTGGTTTTTAAATTGTTTATTTCCAAAAGTCAGTGTACCTCCATGTGAGTCCGAGGACACATGCAGCTATGAACCTTTCTTGAAAGTCCCCAAATAAGACTACCTCAAATCCTTTTGGTAAAGGCTCTACTTATCAATTTTGTTATTCTTCAAGGAACTAGTTCAAGAAAAAAAATTAGAATGAGATACTTTTTAAAGAATAATAACCTTCAAAGTTTCTAGATATTCCAAGGGAATTCCCTAATGATAAAATGAGTAATCCTCAGATGTTTTACCCAATTAATGTCCCCTGGAAAATAATGTTAATTTTTTTTTAATGAATTTTACTGAAACAAAATTTCTCAGAGCTTGAAATGAATGCATGAAAGGATTCTTTGGTTTTCTCTGAAATGAATTTTCTGCCTCTTTATAGTGAAACTCTTTGGGAAATTGCAAAAGCTGAAGTGGAAAAAAGAGGAAGTGCTGGAAGTGAAGGTGATGGAGCTGAAATTGGAGAAAAATCTGTTTTCTTCATTGGCAGTAAAAATGGGGTAATACTTTTTATCTTTATCTTTTTTTTCCACTTATTGTGATGATTTAACAACTAGTGGTTATGTCTTTTTTTCTTCTTATAGGATGCCTACACTCACCAGAAAGAGATAGAGAGAGGGAAAGTGAGAAATCACCTCCCAGTGGGGATAGCCATGCTGCAATCCCTTCTCCTCCATTCTTTTTGGGATTTCGGGTATGCATGCACATGTATCTGGCGTCTTTTTTAAGCTACCAGATCCAGGGCTCAAACTGTGTAGTCAGCCATTTGGGAACCAACCAACTTAACCATTATGCAACCAGACTGGCCAACTAGTGGTACTGTTTTTTGTTCATGTGTGTGTGTTGAAATTAGTTTTACGTTTTATTATTTTTGTAATTGGCTTTCTAAAGGTAAATCCCCTAAGGCAACCTATATATCCCCAGCTTTATAGTGAAAGAGTATCCAAGTTTAAAACTTTTTTAAAGTGGTGACATTTTAATAACTTGATCAGAACTTACACAGTTTAACCCTTTAACCAGATGATCAACCTCATTTATCATGAATTAGAAAGTACTTCTTACTGATCTAGGGACAATTATATAGTAAATAAAATTTTTAAAAATATAATTTTTTTAATAGTTCTTAATTTGAAAATATTTAGATCTTCTACCTCCAGTGAGTATATAAGCCAGGATCCATTTAAATATCTAAGTCAACAACTTAACTCAAAAAGGTAAAACCATGGGACCAGCAGTTAGTGTAATGGCTATGTCTCTGGACTCCCACATAGTCGACTGTGGTTCGCGTCCCAGACCCGGTGGCTTAAACTCACGCCGGGCACGTGTGCATGCATGCCCAAGATCCCAGGAGGAGAATGGAGGAGAAGGGATTGTGGCGTGGCCATCCCCCCTTGGGGGGGTGGTTCTCGCTTTCTATCTCTCTTTCTCTGTCTTTCTGGCAAGCTCACGCACCCTATAGCAAAAAACCCTCAAAAAAAAAAAAAGAAGGTAAAACCTTAATATTCATATTTTATATTTAGTTATTTTACTTTTAAATACTTGGTTAAAGGAACAGTTAAATTGTGTCAGTGATGTTTGTCAAAGGATTAAGTTGTTTTAAAAAATGTGAGAAAATATGGCAGGAGCCATTGGACCACTGATGGGTAGGAAGACCCCCCTTCTTACTCACTGTAAGCTTCACTTTTATTTGGCCAAGCACTAGAAGGGTCTTGGAAGTAGCCACACAGAGCAGGAACAGATGCATCCTATCTTTGTGCAGCTTTGCTTGGCCCAAGAAATTGCTGCCAGAAAGGCAGAACTGCTGGTGATGCTGTCTAAAAAAGGCTGATGCTTGCCAGATCCAAGATACTGAAATTCATGTAGCATTGTGGCTCATTTCTTAATTTTTAAATTTTACATCATCTAAATTTTTTTATTTTTATTTTTAATAGTGAAGTGAACATTTTGAGCAAAGGACTCTTAGAATTTTTGTTTAATTGCCAGGGTGCATGTGCTTACCTTGAGACAAAGAGAGAGAAAGGACCCCTAATGGGGTGTGATCATGCCACAATCCCTTCTCCATTTCCTATCCCATCAGGATATAGGGCACACATGCACACAAGCCCAGTGTGCTTCTCAGGCCACCAGAACCAAGATTTGACCGCATCAGCCATGTGCGTTTCAACTTCCTTAACCACTAGGCTCTGGGACTGACCTGCTCATTTCTACTTGCGATTCATTCAATGAATTCAATTTCTGTGTGCCATGCTTCCTTTAAGGGCACTGATGGATGTGGAGCTTTCAGAAACTGAACTCTGTAGCAGCACGGTTACATGTCCACTGGGTAGTACCACTGCCCGACAGCATGAGCACTCCTCTTATCTCTGGCTGTACCTGAGACCCTCCATGTACAACCAAGCACTCACCATGCTGGAGTATTACCTACAACATTAAGATTATATTTCTTGGGACCAGCAGTTGGCGTAATGACTATGTCACTGGACTCCCATGTAGTCAACCGCGGTTCAAGTCCCGGACCTGGTGGCTTAAACTCGTGTCACGCGTGTGTGCGTGCGTGCCCAAGATCCCAAGAGGAGAATGGAGGAGAAAGGATAGCAGCGTGGCCATCACTCCCTGGGGGGTGATTTCTCGCTTTCTGTCTCTCTTTGTCTTTCTGGCAGGTGCAAGCACCCTATAACAAAAACCTCTCAAAAAAAAAGATTATATTTCTTGGGAGAAGTAATCATATAACCATAAAAGAGTTATTAGTGATCAATGAAAACAATATGAATCGAATAAAGCAGAACACACATTTTAAATGTAGTATGATCTCAACTCTGTAAATATGCAAAAAAATGGATAGTAAAATTTTAATCACTATTTTTATTTTGTTTTTAATTGCTATAGTTTCTAAAATTTTCTTAATAGCTTACTCACATTTTAGAATCTGAACTTAATTCTTTAAAATAAAATAGAGGACTATTTGTATTTTTAAATATTAACCCAGCTATAGTATGTAAGTATTTATTTCATGAGTTTACTATTGTAAGGAGAGTGATTTTCATAGTGGTTGTAATACTTCAATTTCCTACATTTTATCTTACTCCCATTTAGGTATATATAGGCACTTCAAAAAGTCTGTGGAGGGCTGGCCTGTATTGCAGTGATTCAGCACTGTGCAGAGCTAGCTGGACCCCTCATGGCCAGCCATGGTTTAATTACTGGCCCTGACAACTTAAAAGAAATGCACAGGGGGCCCAGCAGGTGGCATAGTGGTTAAAGCTCTGTACTCCTACATGGCCAACTACAGTTTGAGTCTCAGACACTGTAGCTTGAAACTCATGCCAGGGGCGTGTCCATGTGTGCCCAAAATTAGGAGAGGAGAATGGAGGAGAAGGGATTGTGGCTTGGGCATCCCCCCTGGGAGGTGATTTCTCAATTTCTCTCTGTCTCTCTGGAAAGTATAAACACCCTATAGCAAAAATCTCTCTTAAAAAAACCAAAATAGAAAGATACGCACATGGGTCAGCAAGTGACGCGGTGGTCAAGGTGTTGGACTCCCGTATTAACCGATTGTGGTAAGAGTCCCAGACCCAGTGGCTTGACAGTCGTGCTGGGTATGTGTTCATGTTTGTCCAAAATCTGGAGAGAAGAATGAAGAAACTATAGCATGGCCATCCCCCCCGAGGATGATTTCTTACTTTTTCTCTCACTGTCTCTGTCTCTCTCTAGCAAATACTCACATTTTTCAAAACAATTAGTAATCCTTTGACAGACATCACTGACAATCTCTGTCTCATGCATGCACCCTCTAGCATACTAAAAAAATTAATTCATGGAAAAATGGAATTAAAGTGCAGTTTTATTCTGGTGCAGAAAAACTTTGAAATTCATGCATAGGTTTTGTTGCAGTACTTTTTTTTCCATTAACTTTTTAAAGACCTCTTATACATGAATTTACATAAACGAGTAAAAAAGCAGTAAAGTTAAGCGTCCTAATCTAAAACATGAAATACTTAAAAATTCCAAGCTTTTTGAACACCAACATGACACCACAAATGGAAAATTCTATTCCTGACCTTACATGATGGATCACAGCCGAACACTTTAATTTGAAACTACTGTGTAAAATTACCTTCAGGTGGGACCAGTAGGTGGCGTGGTGGGTAAGGCACTAGACACACACATGGCTGACCACGGTTTGAGTCCCAGACCTTGCGGCTCACTTTCTCACTTTCCCTCTCTCTCTGGTCAAATTAAAAATAATAATAATAATGTTTTTAAAAATTACCATGATGCAGTTTATAAGATGTTTATGAAACATAAGTGAATTTTATATTTAGAGTTGGGTCCTATCCCCAAGATATCGCAAAAATATATATCATAAATATTCCGAAATCCAAAGTTGAAAACACTTCAAGTCCTAAGCATTTCAGAAAAGAGGTACTCAACCTGTATAGTCTTATAGTAAAAACGAATTTCTATTACAAAAAATATTCCTTATATGAAACCTGCTTTCATATACTTGAAGATAGCTTATACTAATGGTTCTCATTACTGATTTCAGCAAACAAATGCTCAGACACAAAATGCCCCTATTAGCATCTTCTAATTACTTGCTGACATTTGTTCTTCACTTCTCTGTAGTTGTGACAGCCTATTTGTTTTGCTTCATGTTTTATTTGTTTGTAAAACCACCTTTTCTACTTGATAGTGATATGTGTCACATGCAAGCTGTTTGTATTTTTCTCATGCTGTAGTGCATACATGTGCATGTACACAAGCATAAGAAGACAGAGAGGAGCACCACCAACAGGGTCTCATCATACTGCAATCCCTTGTCCCCAGCCCTCTAGCTCCTTGGGATCTTGGGTATTTGTGCACACGTGTCCAATATGCCCACCATTTTTTCAGGACAGCCAGGGAATCCAAACCCACAATTGCCCACATGGCTTCCAACCTCAAAAGACATTTTTATTACCCCTGCACCTTAGCAGCTGAGCCATGTTTTTTTTTTTTTTTTCATTGACATGAATTAACTAATTTTTTTTTTTTTAACATTTGGGGAACTCCTTTGAAATATCTAGAATTTTAAGGGTATTGTTCTCTTTTAAGAAACAAAAACAAAAACAAAACTATAAAGGTCTTTGCCATAAGGTGCATGCACTTGCCAGAGACAGACCTCATCTCTTTTCTTCCTTTTATCCATTCAGTAATTTATCAAGTATCTTTTAGATGCCAGGCCTCTAGCCAGCTGCTATGGAAGCAGAAATGAAAGACATACTCTCATCTGTAAAGGGACTTACGTATTAATACTTGTACACCAACAATCACAACACCACGAGACAAATGCTGCCGTGGAAAATGGGAAGGGCACTTAACTCAGCCCAAGAGTTTGGAAAATTAGGAAAGCCTCCTTAAGACAGGGTGATGACTGGCCAGCAGTTGGCATAATGGTTAAGGTGCTGAATCTCACATGGCCACCTATGGTTTGAGTCCTGGACCTGGTGGCTTGAAACATGCCAGACACGTGTATGTGCATGCCCAAAATCTCAAGAGGAAAATGGAGAAGAGATTGTGTGTGGCCATCCCTACTGGGGGATGATTTCTCCCTTTCTGTCTCTCCATCATAACAAAAATCTCTCGTTTGAAAAAGAGTGATGCCTGACCTCAAAGGGCCAGAAGTAAGGAAAGAGAATTTGGTCTAGTCATCTTAAGAAGAGGATCAAGGGAAACCGCAGTTAGCGTAATGGCTATGTTGCTGGACTCCCACATAGTCGACCGCGGTTCGTGTCCTGGACCTGGTGGCTTAAAACTCACGCTGGGCGCGTGTGCGTGAGTGCCCAAGATCCCGAGAGGAGAATGGAGGAGAGGGGATTGTGGCGTGACCATCCCCGCTGGTGGGTGATATCTCTCTTTCTGTCTCTATGTCTCTCTCTGTCTGGCAAGTGCATGCGCCCTATAGCGAAAACCTCTCCAAAAAAAAAAAAATGAAGAGGATCAAGAAAATACAGCTATTGCAACAAGTGGGAGAAAGAATGTACTAGACAAAAGTAATAGGATTACCAGTCGGCGTTGACTGCTGTTTTGATAATGGGATTTAGTTGATACTGACCTGCCCAGTGTAGTAATCTTTCTCCATCATCACTCACGTGAGTTCAGGCATGGAAGAAGAAGGTGATGAAGTTTTCCTGAGATTTCTTTTATTTTTGAGGTTTTTGCTATAGGGTGTGTGTGCTCGCCAGAGAGACAGAGAGACAGAAAGCAAGAAATTACCCCCAGGGGGAATGACCATGCTGCAATCCCTCTCCTCCATTCTCCTCTTGGGATCTTGAGCTCACACGCACATGAGCCCAGCATGAGTTTTAAGCCACTGGGTCTGGGACTCGAACCACAGTCGGCTACATGGGAGTCCAGCAGCGTAGCCATTATGCCATCTGCTGGTCCCTTGAGATTGTTTTTTTGCTAGGCAAGTACGATAAAAAGTCAGGAAGCCTGGGGTGTGGATGACATTTGCAAGAGATGATTATAATGCTAAACTATGTACTCTAAGATGGGAATGAAGAGAAGTGAAGGCAGGAAAGGACTGATAGAGAAACTATTGGGGCATCTAGGGACTTTTGAGACCTATAACTAAAATCAGAGAGTTATTACTATAAGGAATCATGAAGAATGCATTTGCATGTGTGATTTTTGGAAGTAGTGTTGTTTTTCTGTGAAGTTTTTCAAGATGTAACTGGAAGTGATGTGTGTCCAAAATAGAGTGAGAAAAAAGGCCTCTGTGGGTAGGCAAATGCACTGAGAGATGAGAGTGTTAGGTAGGTTGCCTTTGCTCACGTGAGTGTGACGTTAACAAGACTAATGACAGTAGTTGAAAGAGAAAGATTGAGAGCCAAAGAGATGACTATGACCATGGTGATAGACTGCCAAAAACCTCTGAGGTTTCACAAGAGGAAGGAAGTAGAGTAGTTGTTTAAAGGTGGCATTGGGAAGCAAGAAGGGCCCTGAAGTACCTGGGGAAGGTGAGAATAAATAGCCTTTTTAAACAAGGCTTCAGAGGAAGTAGTACAGGAACAGCCATGTTCTAGTGGAGGCCAACAGGTGGAAAGAATGTTCTGAAGAAAAGGTTGCGATATTAGGGATTTTGCCAACCATGGTGTTGGAGTTGCAGAATCTGAGGGTTTTAGAGGAAGGGAGGATGGGAGGGAATTATTGGGCCAGATGAAGAGATATGTAGAGGATTATGGAATTCAGAGTTCTAGGGATAATGGGTCAGAGGAGACTAGACTTTGGGTGTGATTAAGATAATGAGAGAGAAAATGGGATTCATTTTGATGGTGTCTAAACGAACACAGTGTTCACTGTTTCATGAATTAAACTCAACAGTCTGTGGATACCTTCTCAGGGGGCCACAGTTTACTAATGAATTTTTAAAATTTGGATTGTCATTTTTAAAAAAGAAACCTTATTTATTTATTTAAATTTGACTAGAGAGGGACAGAGTGTGAAAGAGAGAGGGAAAGTGAGAAAGCAAGCTATGAGGTCTGGGACTTGAACTGCTGTCACCCATGTGGGAGTCTAGCGATTATTGGGCCAGATGAAGAGATATGTAGAGGATTATGGAATTCAGAGTTCTAGGGATAATGGGTCAGAGGAGACTAGACTTTGGGTGTGATTAAGATAATGAGAGAGAAAATGGGATTCATTTTGATGGTGTCTAAACGAACACAGTGTTCACTGTTTCATGAATTAAACTCAACAGTCTGTGGATACCTTCTCAGGGGGCCACAGTTTACTAATGAATTTTTAAAATTTGGATTGTCATTTTTAAAAAAGAAACCTTATTTATTTATTTAAATTTGACTAGAGAGGGACAGAGTGTGAAAGAGAGAGGGAAAGTGAGAAAGCAAGCTATGAGGTCTGGGACTTGAACTGCTGTCACCCATGTGGGAGTCTAGCGCCCTTAACCACCACACCACCTGACAGCCCCTGGATTGTCATTTTAATAATAATCTAAAACTTGATTTCAGTTCCCAGAATTGGGTTTATATTTATTCAAAATTATCATTACATACTAATATACATTTATATCACATTATAATAAAAATAAGAAATCAATACTAGGTTACTATGAGGAATTGAGAATATTGGCTAGATATTCTCTAAAATTCCTTCTAATTCTAAACACAGTAATTACAATTTTGTACCTTTTTATTAAAAAAAACTATTGATCCTTATTACTTGTTTATTATCCAAATTCTTTCACTCTATCCCAGATACAATCTGGAATAATTTATCATCATCTGTTTTGGCAAAAATTATAAGTTTTTTTGCATATTTATGTGGTTTTTTTTCCTATGTTCTTGAAACTGGAGTTTCCCAAGCTATTTTTCTTAGACCCCAAATGTTTTCTCCAGTAGGGTTTTCCCTGCTGTTTTTCTCTCATCTAAGTTTTACTATCATTTGTTTAATAGAGAGAGAGAGAGAACATTTTAAAGTTAAAAAACACAGTGATTTAAACCACATGGAGCTAGTCCCTGCTAAGATAAGAGGTTATATTTTATAGTTAGTAGCAGAGCTGGGGCCAGAACTTGTATTCTCTGAGTCTTAGGAAGAAACTTGGAATAAGTTCGTCCTTTATAGCTGAAACAGAGTACTCTAAACCAGTATCTGAATTGCTTAGACTTATTTGCAATGTGTCCTTTATTTGTGTGTTATCTTTTTTATTTCCACTTCAACAATCGGAATTAGAACATTTTAGAAGACACTAATCATCAGCTTAACTAGTAATTAGCACTGATGAGTAAAGAGAAACTTAAGACAGCTGCCAAGTTGACCACTCTCGTGAGGTACGATCTGCTAGTATTTGTCATCTGTGGGACTTTGTAATTATAATAATAGCAGTGTAGTTACTCTGTGATGAAAAGTCGACAGTTAACTTTTTCCACTCATCAAACTTAGAACAATTCTGAAAGTTTCCAGTTTTTAGTTTCCAGGTAATTTATCGTTCAAATGATTAAAAAGCTATTTTTGGGCCACAATTATGAACAATGATAAAATTTACATATGGATGACATTAACATAGTATTCTTTCTTTTTTA